GGCATTAAAAAAAAAAACAAACCCAGACATGCAAGACACATGCAGACGGATCATAACAAGTGACGTCACGCCGGGTCTCCGGGTTCACAGCTGACGGGCGTCTCTCTCCGTTCCGCTCTGTCAGTCAAATGAAAGCCAACAGGTGAAAAAAAAACACAACACAACAACAACGCACAAACAGACGCAGTCCGACGCGCACTAACAAGCAGACACACAGTCAGCATCCTCTGTCACAACAGCAGCACTCTGCAGGGTGACAGGTGGAAGTCTGCTTGTCTGTGAGTTTCTATGTCATTTCCTATGAAGTCTGGCACACTGGTGGCACATGATGGTACCCAGTTCTGCTGTTTATTACCTCCAACTACTTGTCAAATTTGAGGCCTACCGTCTGTTAATTGCAATAAAATATACAACAAAAACGAAGCATTAAACAGCAAGTGTTCTATAAAGTCAACAGCAGATGGTAACAAACTGATAGGGTAAAAAAAAATATTAAAAGAAGTATTTTATTGTATCTAAAATGTGAGTTTTCTAAGAATTATCACAATCAAATGTTGATTTAACCCTTAGATATTGTTCATATTTCATGCCTTCTTTATACTGTGAAGAATTCCTGTCAATAATTCCCTCATACTAAGTGTCTACATCAAATTTTAAACTCCAGATCTATCTAGAATGTCTAAGTAGCCTGTGTCACGTTAATAAATGTAAATAAAATATACACAAAAAACATGGCCTGTACAGTTTCACAGTTTCAAGATGAACTAAAACCACCACTTTCAGCCTCAGTGTACAAAAATCTGTTGCAAAATTTTTTTAAATATTTAAATTATTGTGTATTTTGGTTCATTTTAGGAAAAGTCATCAAATTTCAGCCTAAACGAACGACGTTTTGACTGCTTTCAAATGTCAAAACAGGTCAAATTTAACCCGAAACAGTATGTAAGGGTTAAAAAAGCGCTGACAATGCCTTGATATTTCAAAGCAATGCATGTTTTTTTCCAAAAAAAGTTTTTTCATGTGTTGTAATAATTGTCCTTTTTGGCTGCATTCGGTGCTACAGTAGAAGAGAATGGCGACTCAGTCCATGTAGATTGAGGCTACATCTGCATTAATACATTTTCTTTTTAAAATGCATGACCTCTGTTACGCTTGAGGGCTACAGCAAATGATTATTTCCACTGCTGATTAATCTCTTGATTATTTTCTCAAAGCTGTTTGGTATAGAATGTAAGGAAATGGGGAAAAAAATAAAATTTAAAAGTCAATCGGTCTTTCTTAAAGCACAAGATGACGTCTTCAACTGTCTTGTTTTGTTCACAACCCAAAGATAATCTGTTGTTACTGTCATTAAAGGTGGAAAGAAACCAGAAAATATTCGAGATTTTGAGTTTTTTTTTTCTTTTTTTTTTTAAACAGACACTTCCCTGTGTTTGAATTGTTTCGGTGTAAAAGTTTCCAAATGATCCAAAGCTTTTTAAACATGAGAGCACTTCAAATTATCTCACATACTGACATGATAATAAAAGGTGGTTTGTTCACTGTGCAAAGTTTCAAGGACAGAAGCATTAAAGCTGCGTACGAGAACCTTAAAAGAAAACATAGAGGCGCTATTCTGGAAGAGGCACCACCAGAAAAAAAAAGGTAAAAGTGTTCAGCATGGAGAGCTTTAGAATAATCAGTTCACCTAAACCTTAAATCTAACCACAGCAAGAGCAATAACTTGTAGTTCACTCCAGAGTGCAGAGCAACTTTATCTTCAAGGTCATATTTACATTCTGATAAAGTCAGGAGCTATACCGCGCTCACATGGTCTCCACTGTATAAGCTACTGTATAAGTGCTGGGAGGAACCCTCAGGGGTTCTCCACATCAGAACCTCCGAGGACCCCAGAAAACAAAGAAGTTAATGAATTCTGATTTTCTAAATCTCAAAGACAGCAGTTCTCGAGCATATGCCACCAAGAGGCACCAGTCTAAAGGTTTTCCCTTTAACTCCAAACCCACAATTACAGCGGCTGATTTCAGTGATTAGTTCCTTCCTTCTAATTGTGGGGTTGCTAATCAGCGAACGCAGCATCTGTAGTGTTTAGCTGGAATGAGGGCGTGCAGGGTTTTCAGGCTCAATAGGCACAAGCTGGAGGAACCGCTTTTAAAAATGTGAATGAAAACCTCCTCCCTGAAAGAGAGGAACCCTGAAGCTGCTACATGTGGGCTGAAACTGCATCAATATTAATGAGTTTTCATCTTAAAAATGCGCGACTTCAGTTACGTTTCAGGAGCTGCAACCAACGATTACTTCCACTGCCGATTAATCTGTCAATTAGTTTCTCTATTAATTGACGAAAAAGTCTACAAAATGTCAGAAAATGGTGAAAAAGTTCAATCAGTCTTTCCTAAAACACAAGAGGACGTCCAAAAATGTCATTTTTACTGTCTTAGAGGAGGAATGAAATCAAAAAAATATTCACATGTAATGATCAAAGTAATTGTTGCAGGTTTGCTTTGTTTACCACCTTTAATTGCGGACCCTTTAAACTTTTGCATACGCTGATCCCCTGTTAGTTTAAAAACTCTAGGGCAGTGTGAGCAATTAAAGAAAACTGTTGCTACTGCTGTTTTTCTCCCCTCGCAAATGGTCATCTGATGTACGTTTTCAGGCTAAAACGCTCGTCTGGATGGAGTTTGTGTGGCTGTAGCCTGACGCCGACCCCGTCTTTGATTTTATACCAATTTAAATACTCTTTATCCCCCTTTAAACCAACCTCTCATTGCTTTTTACTCCATTTGTATCCCCGTGGTGAGCTTTCGATTGCCTTTAATTCGTGCTGCCCACCACCGACTGATTCTGATCGGTTTATTTATGTAGCCCGGCCTGGAGAAGCAGAAGCTGTCAACAGCACATTGCTAATACTAGATTGCTCTTTTATTGTTATAGCTCACTAATAAGCAGACACATATACTCGAGCCGGAGTTTCTTCCATTCAAACGAGCCTCGCCAGCAGCAGCAGCAGCAGCAGCAGCAGCAGCAGCGGACCAACATTAAACTGATCCCAGCAGCCACCCAGACCCTTGTTAGTATCAGAGGCTTTTTCCCTGCGGCAAAACTCTCACACACAGCGAGTCCACATCAAAGCAAACCATGAGCACGTCTCTAGTATGTATCTGGGAGAGCAGCGCTCTGGTCTTGCTCTGGGCTACGCTTCACTTTCAGCATGTCGGTGTGGGCGGTTTAAGCTTCTGTATACATGTACAGGCGAGGGTCTGGCTGCGCTTGTATGTGTAAACCACCGCAGTCAACAAAGACGCTAATCCTCCAGGCGAAACAGCTACTCTCAGATTTGTGTGGGGGTGTGCAGTGTGTCTGTTGTGTATGTTTGTGTATACGAAATGAATGTAAGCAACAGCAAAAACCCTTGGCTGACTGTTCAAAGTGCACCGAGTTCAATTATTGGTCCAACAGTCTACAGAAACAAAGCCAGGAGGCACTGTGTTTGTTTTTAAGGATAAGACGGAGGCGAGGCTGCGTCGTTAACCTCTAGCTGACATGTCAAGACTGTGGAAATGGACTTTTTCATCTACTACTAGATTTTAATCATCTGAATAATGCTCTTTTAATCCAGTAAGTGGCTGTAGCTGACCTTTATGGTGCCTTTCAGACATGGACTCCTTTCCGGTAATCGTATCTGAATAAGTACCTCGGTCACCCATCCATCCATCCATCATCTATACACCACTTAATCCTCACAATGGTCACAGGGGGCTGGAGCCTATCCCAGCCAACTTAGAGCTGGACAGGTCACCAGTCTATCCCAGGGCTACACTTAGAGACAGACAACCAAGCACACTCACATTCACACCTACGGACAATTTAGAATCACCAATTAACCTCAACATGTTTTTGGACTTGTGGGAGGAAGCCGGAGAACCCGGATAGAACCCACGCTGCACGGGGAGAACATGGAGACTCCACGCAGAAAGATCCCGGCTGTCCTGCGAGGCTACAGTGCTACCAACTGCGCCACCTCGCAGCCCCATCCCGCTCGCTTTGACGTAAAAGTCGCAATGAGAAACTTACCAGGTCGGTGCTAGAAACATTTCTATAACACTTTGGATATGGCAGCCATGCAACAATACTTCTGAGTTGTGTGAAGCGATATAGGGAGGACTTTTTCACACATTTCAGCACTGATATTGGTCCGAAAACATCTCAGAGAGTGGAAAAGACACAGCTTGTAAATCATGAAACACCTTTTATGTTCACTTTGTTCTAGAGTTTCCCATCTATTGCAAACTGACGTCCAGAGAAATAAGACTTTACCGTGACGAAGACAAAGTCTGCAAAAGCTCGGATTAATGAGACTAAATCTAATCTTGGTTTTGGCAATCAAGTAAACAATTTGTCGTTTTTTTTTTCCAAGAAGATGGCCGCTTCCAGTTTGTTTACGAGTCTTTCCTCTGAGTTTACTGAATAGCATCAAACAGCAGCAGGAACCATGTGAGCGTCTCCAACGTAAAGAAGCTGCCAACATTTATGCAACAACAGCAGTAACTTCATTAATTACTTATAATTCTAAATGATCACCGACATTGAATTAATGAGGTGAGCTGTCGCATAGAATCACAATTTATCAGCTGCAGGAAAATGATTCCTGAGTCCTGAGCTCCATCACAGCTTTATGGATGTTTTTATTTACTATTAGTTGGATTATCATCACACATGGACTGAATTTTAAGTGTTTAGGAAATCAGAAATAAACTGTTAGTTGTTTGACAACCGTAGGAGTTCAGATTTAATCTTTTCTTTATTATTCTGCATTATCCATCTAGCACCAGTGTATCATAGTCTGTTACTTTAATTTTTATACACACTCTACCATTTTCTTTCTTAAAATAGGCAGAAAGGGCAATAAATCTTCATTCTAGACGCATTGCCCTTCTTTTTGATCTGTTCTTTTTGCTTTTAATGTGAATAAAAATGCAAACACGGTGTTCATCTACCTCAGGCTTGCTGAGGCTGGAGGACACCAAGCACCCTGAGCCGACGTCCAGGTCCCACTGCTTCCTGCCCTGGTTGTGGGGATCCAGAGCCGAGATCCGTCCATCCAGGGTACTGATGATCACTAGAGACCTGAGGATGGAACACAAAGACTTCAGCATACTCTCCAGACACAGCGCCAATTAAACTATACGTACAGGCAAGGCTGCACTCTTTTCTAGGCGCTCACTTGGTGATTTTACATTTCAAAACAGTGAATCTACAGCCATTGTTGTCCTTTAATGCCGCCTTCCCAGCAGGGGGGGGAGCTTCAGTCTAATGCCATCACAGACAAGACACTAAAGGGCAAAGAAGTGCTAAGCGGCGGTGCAGATGTTGTCTTCCCTCGCTGGTCTGCCTTTGTTTAGCAATCAGGGTGACCTTCAGCAGAAGCCAACAGCACACCTGTGCCATGACAAACCCCATCTTGTCAGCTGGTTTGGGTGGCATGTTGATGAAAGAGGATTATTAAAACCTGACCAGACATCCCACACAGTGCAAACGTGTGAGATGATAAATCCTCGGCTGATGGTGAACCCCGTTTTCACATCTATTCAAACTGCTCTTGTGCCGCAATCGGCACAACAAAGCAAAACCATGTGGGAGCATCAAATGTGGCTGAAATGTTGGGTGGAGAGAAGTGAGCTACGAGGACTTTAAAGGTGGGTGAAAAACTGGATGGATGAACTGGATATCACTCACAGAACATCGCATAGTGTTTTCATCTGAGTAGTTTCAGCCATATTTTGCATTACTTCTATGAGACTATAAAACTGGTACAAAAGACAAGTTAACTTAAACCTAAACTGGTGGCTGATTAATCTACAATCAACCTAAAATTCTACATAAAAACAGCAGTGAAGTATATAAGGATTTACCTACTAATTTACCTTTTCTAGTGGTCTCCCGCTCTCAATTTATAACTGCGGACTTCAAAGATATCTCATTTTTAGGACTGCAACAAGCAATTTTTTAGCCTGATATTTTCTTGGCTAATCAGTCGTTTTTTTGGTCTATAAAATGTCAGAAAATGGGTAAAAACTTCAATCAGTGATCTCCAAATCTCCAGATGACATCTTACAATATCTTGTTTTGTTCACAACCTACAGATATTTAGTTTATCGTCAGCGAAGAGGAACATTTTAGGCAGCTGCAATCACAGAATTTTGACTTTTTTTCCTTAAACAACTACCTAAATTGACGAATCCGTTATCTAAACAGCTGACGATTACAGCAACTAATTGATTAATTGATTAATTTCTTGCAACTGTGAGATTTTGTCCCTAAACAAAGTAAAGAGTTTGTTGCGCTTCAGATAGCGAAGTGAGCAAAGTGACTGATGTGCACATTTACGGCTACAATTTCTCAGACTTACAACTGCCATAAAATCTGACACAAACACTGAAAAGCCTCATAATAAATGCTTTTGTGTCGTCAAAGACTTGTCTGTCTTTTATTCGGAGTGGAGTGATTCACTGAGCAACGAGATTAGTCTTGGCTTTTTTCCTCCTGAGCTCTCCAGCACTGGCAGAAAATTTGTGTTTGCAAACACTGTCTTGACAGCTCAGAGAAATACCAAATCAGTGCTGTTAGGACAGCAGCCACACCACTCAGACTTGTGTCGTTTCTTTTCATACATCTTCGTGAAGTCTCAAAACAAAGATGGAAGCACATTTTTAAACTGCTGGTTTGGATGATGCAAAAAAAGAAAGATTGTTTTATTATTCAACACTGACATTTTAAAATAAAGTGTCCACATATTTCATTCAGACACAGGAAGCAGCTGTAAGATTGGAGTGGACGGGTTTTCTCCGACAGAAAAAGACTTTAACTTGAATTGCCACTTTGCAGCTGTATGCTTCTGCCAACCAGACAGGTTGCAGCGTACATCCATGTCTGTCATAAACTAGATAGTGCAGACATTCCAGTGTGCGTTTACTGAGAGAAACAAAAAACTTCTTCACCTGTTTGGCCAATAAAGTTGATTCTGCTAAGTTGTAGCCACGACAGTAAACAACGCTTCAGATATGGACGTTGGTGCAAAGAAGCTACAAATTCAAAATCGTGGATGCTTCAAACATGTCTACAATCACCACAATTTCAATGTGGGTACCCAAGATTGGTACCACCAATTCAGTATCTAAGCAAATGTTTAAAAAACAATAACAATAGTCGCAGTCTCCTCTTCTGATGCTGAATATTGTGTTTCTTCAGACCATTACAGTCTCACATTGAAGTTGACCATGATTTTACATCCTATTTGAAATTTGTGTTCAATTTTTGTCACAATTTAATAAAAAAAAATACATTCCTCTTCAACTTAACTGCAGCCCTAAAACATATTTTCTGCCACATTATGTTTGCTTGTCATGTCTGACTAATGTGTTTTAAATTAACACAACTTTCCCATTTATTTAGTTGCTTTCCTGTTTTCCTTTTTCAGCCAACCAATCATACGCTAGAGGAGGCGGAGAAGCTTCAAAAATGTTGTGAAAAGGTTTTGTTTTGTTTTTTAAACCCAAACCTATTTTTTTAAAACCCAAACAAGTCGTTTCAGTGACGAAACCTAACCAAACTTCTAACAAGTACATATTGTTGTGAAAGTGTCAACCAAAGTGTGATTTCTTTTTTTTTCTGAACCATGTTTCTTGGGGAAAACAAACCAAAGTGAAAGTGAAACTTCAGTCTGAGCACAATGGTCTCCAACAGGATGTGGGGCCCTTCCTCCTGGGTGAAAGTCTTGTTGCTGATTTATGCCTCCATCCTCCCCTTATACCTCCTTCTGCAGACGTTACCGTTTTTCAAAACAAACATGAGGATGCAGTTTTAAGTGTATAGGTTTGTAATCGAATCAGTTTATCTTTAAGTCCATCTATATGCTTGTGCAAAATTTGAAAAAAAATCCTTCAAAGCGTTCCTTAGACATTGTGTTCCTAGAAATAGGACAGCAACTGACATTATTTCCAATTAACCTGTTAACTTCTACCCCGATTGATCAATTAGTTGTTTTGTTTAGAAGACAATATTTCTCACAAATGCATTACAGCATGGTGAAATTGTCCTTTCGTATATCCCAGTTGGGGGTAAAATGTCAGAAAATGTTGAAAAAAAAGTTTATCAGAGTTTCTCAAAGGCCAAGAGGACGTCCTCAAATGTCTTGTTTTGTCCACAACCCAAAGATATTCAGTTTAGTGTCACAGAGGAGCAAAGAAACCAGGAAATATTCACATGGAAGAAGCTGAAATCAGAAGATGTTGACTTTTGTTCTTTAAAAAAAAACTTGACTAGCAAAACAGTTTCTTTGTTAGTTGAAGAATGTTCAATTGTTAGTTGCATCCCTGCTTTGGAATGGGACGTGGACAACCTGACAGCACAATGTAAGAAGTATTGTGATCATGGACTATGGAATTACTTTGTAGCGCTACCAAAAACTTTACTTGTGCAACGTGCAAGTGCAAATGCCCTTCATTTATTTCCATTCAGTTATATTTATAAAGCTCCAAATCACAACATAAGTCATCTAAAGGCCTTTACATAGTGAGGGCAAGGCCTCTTAACAATACTGTATAAATGAGCTTTATTCTCCTTTTTGTGCCCACACAGCAACATTTGTTAACAGTTGTGTGTTTTCCCTTTATTCTGAGACAATCTGACCTAAATGAAGTGAGACATGGAGCCCCACCCTTCGCCTGACTCTTAGGGTTTCTGCCGCATTGCTTGTCAATCATGTCCGGAGCTCTGGCAGGGGCCACGTCCCGACTATTGATTCGTATCTGTCTCGAGGAGATGCTGTCAACGGGGCTTTTAGCTTTATTTAACCAGCGAGGGTCTGCTGAGCACGCATGCTGTCTCCGGGCGCCCTCTGCTCCGCACCCACACAGCTGGGATCCAGGCAGCTTCCCTCTGTTGCCCACCGGAGCACATGGGGGTTTTAACTGTCTCCCTCAAGGGGCAACTAGACAGAAGGTGCTGAGATGAAACACAAGTGTCACACCAGCTCCCAGCTCAGACTGGCAAAATTAGAAGTTAAAGAAATGCCGTATAAACAGTGTCGGCTCAAAGATGTTGCATATGTTTAGTAACGGCATTAAACACACTTTCCATCATTTAAAACCGAGCAGGTGAGACGCTATTGAGTAGCTATAATACCTTATCGATTTAAACTATCGAACAGTCTCCAGACATGAAGGGGAGGCGGCACGTTCAAGGATGTGTAAGCCTTAGGAAAACTAAGAAATGGATTGTTTCTGAGCGTGCAAATCAATTTTAGGAAGGATTCTCTTATGTTTCCCCGCAGTCACTGACACATTCGCAGGGAGTAGCGTTTCCTGCTTCACACCGGCTACTTATTCCAGCTCAACCGGAGCTGGAAGTTTGCATAAAAATGCAAATAGGATCACTTAACAGTAATGGGCCATGTGTCTTTCTGCCCCATCAAAGCCAAGATTATCTTCCCCAAATCTGCTCTTAGCATTATCAGCCTCGCCACTAGCGCTGAAGTGTGGAGTACTAAGAAAAACATTGTTTTTTTTCTCCCCCTCGCAGCCACCAATAAAAACAGAGCGCTAAAGCCCGCTCTCACCCTCTCAATTGGCTGCGAGACCCTGCCAAAAATATTAGGCTGATTGGTTGTTGCTAAGCAGTCGGCTCTGTGAGAGGGTGGAAAGCTTTGGCGGCCTTCGCTCGGTCCGGCCCCGCCTCCCCCCCTCCTCCCAAGTCATGCTGTGAATGTAGAAGAGAAGAAGAAGAAGAAGAAGTCAGTGAGAGCATCGAGTTCAACTTCAGAGATAGAGAGAGGGTGAGCAAGAGATGGAGGAACTTCATTCTGAGAGGGAGATCAAAGGCTTTTGTGGACTCTTTGTACTCCAGATAAAGGATAAGCAGGAGTAGAGGGGGGTGGGGGGGCACTTAACTCTACAACTTAGGTACCACGATGGTACTACAGAAAACAAGTAGTGGGAGTAGCTACAGGAATAGCACCACACCAAAAAAAAATAACAACAAAACAAACAGCCCTACTGTATCATTTAGAACTCAGGGCAATTTATTTTCCACGTCTGAGCCCCGAGACACCGCGGCTCTGCTCGTCACCA